TCATCAATATTGTTCATCTTGAATAATCACCTCAGTGACACATCATTTTCTTCCATATTCTCTCCAAAACCATTACCTATCTTCTTCTATAGATACACCTGAATCAGTCAGATCTGATAACTTTAAAACGCCGTTTACACTCTGGATCGAAGTTCTTCGGTCGAATTGTCGAAGTGAAGTTCATTGAGGCCAGGTGACTCTACATACTCGTTGAATTGCCAAAGAAACTCAGGCGGTGTCGGTGGGCAGGCTTTATTGCACAAGCACAAGCAATGATATCGACACCAACCTTAGGCAAGCCTGAAAATGAAGTAAAACAACTGTACAGAGAGATCAAGGAGTTAATGAAACAGATCAAGAAGAACCAGACTCTTATAATCATGGGAGATTTCAATGCGAAGGTACAGCGAGGACGTGTTGAAGCTGTCGTGGGTGATTTTGATTTGGGAGATCGAAACGAGAGAGGTGATATGCTAATCCAGTTCTGTCAAGAAGAAAAATTAGTGATTACGAATACCTGGTACAAACTGTTACCTCGGAGACTCTACCTGGCAGTCTCCACAACATACGCATGACAACATCGTAAGAAATCAAATTGATTTTATATTGATTAATCAGAGATACAGAAATGGATTGCAAGGAGTAAAAAACGTACCCTGAACAGAAATCGGATCTGCTCACAATCCCGTTGAAAATTAAGCTTAAGAAAATTAAAAATTAAAATCCATAAAGAAAAGTGATATAAACAGCTTAAAACAACCTGCCGTTAAACTAAAACTCACAAAAACTAAATGAGGCAATAGCGGATATCATGACAAGATCTAAACAACCGGCCAGTACAGAAGACAAAGGAAATTGTGTTAAAAAAGCTATCGTAACCACCACCAAGTCTCTGATCGCTTCCCAAAAGTACAAAAAGAAGAATTGAATGACTGGCATATCATTTAAAGTTAAAAAATGACATATCATTGAAAAACAAAGACCGAACCAAACATCAGCAGATTAACCGACAAATACGAAAAGAGTATGGCAAACCTAAAAAATAGTGGCTGCTAGACAAGTGTGCAGAAATGGAGGAATGGGAAGAAAAACATGACCACTTTAACATACATAAACTCGTTAAAGAAGTAACAGTCATACAAAACCTTGTAGTTTTAACAGTATTGTGAAGGACAATAAATTAATTACTGGTTCCAAGGATCTACTTCAACATTGGAGAAACTATACACAGCAACTACACTCTGACAACACTAGAAGAAATTCTGAAAGTGAATATAAAAGTAAACCCTCTCCCAAAATATTGAAGTCAAATGTTGTAAGGGCAATCAAACAGAGCAAATGGGGACAAGTACCAGGCCTAGACGACATATACATAGAGGATCTAACAATGTTGAGTGAAGACAATATAGACGCCTTGGTAGATCTTTTTAATGACATTTATTGGTCTGGTCAAATACCACAGGATTGGCTTAAATCAACCTTTATACCAATCCCAAAACAGCCAATCGCTAATAGTTGTGACCAATTCCGAATAATCAGCTTATTGAGCCAAGTCCTAAAACTCTTCTTAAATATAATTCACACAAGAATATACAACAGATGTGAAAGAGATATTAGCCCCCTACAGTTCGGTTTCAGACAAGGATTTGTAATTTGGCTTAACTGTGCTACTTCAGAAATGCAAAGATCAACAAAAAGACGTCTTCCTATGCTTTATGGAATATCAGAAAGCGTTGGATTGTGTTTATCATTCAGAATTAGTAAGATTGCTCCAGAAACGTTCGATAGATGAGAATGACCTTAAACTCATAAAGAATCTTTATATAAATCAAGTGGCATCTGTGAGAGTAGGAGTGGAATCTACATCATATTTCTTAATCGAAAAAGGTCTACGACAGGGTTGTGTTCTGTCACCCCTCCTTTTTAATCTTCACTCTGAAACGATTTTCGATAGAGCCCTAAGTGACACTGAAGATGTAATCAAAATCGTCGGATAGACCATTAGTAATCTTTGCTATGCTGATGATACAATCATAATAGCTGATATCAAAGAAGCGCTAAAACGACTAATAGATAGAATAAACACTGAAGGAGAACGACTGGGCTTGAAGAATAATATAGACAAGACGAAGATAATGGTGATTAGTAAAACACGAAATATGTAATTAAATATAAGAGTAAACAATAAGAACATCAAAAAAGTCCCCAAGTTTAGATGTCTCGATAGTTGGATAACTGAAGATCTAGATCCAGACATAGAGATACGTCGCAGGATTGAGCAATCCAGAACAGCATATACTAATATAAAAACCTTGCAAAGCAATAGCAGCCTTAACTTAACGCTTCGATATCGCTTTGTAAAATGTTACATTTACTCCATACTGCTATATTGTGTAGAAACCTGGACCATAAAGGCCAATTTGATTAACCGATTGGAGGCCTTTAAAATGTGTTTATTTTTTAGAAGAGTACTTAAAATTTTCTGGGCAGATCACACAACAAATGTCGAAGTATTAAATCGAATGGGCAGAGAACGAGAACTACTACCAATAATAAAGAGAAGAAAAACTGCTTATCTGGGTCATATATTTCGAAATTCCAAGAACCAATTCTTAAAGCTTATTATGGAAGGGAAGATAGAAGGAAAACTGGACATCAGAAGAAAGAAATACTCATGGCTTAAAAACATAAGGGATTGGACAAACCTCGATGCCCATGCACTCTTAAGAGCCACACAAGATCGAGAGGAGTATGCCAGAATTGTCGCCAACATCCACTAATTGCATAGGGCACCATAAGAAGAAGAATGATATCGAGTAAAGTGAAGTCAGGTAATGTAGTGTGACACTTTGTATTCAAACTTCGGGCCCTTTGACTCGAACGCTAAAAACCGACACAGAACGGAAGTACAACGAGACGAAACGAAGTCGCATGAAGTACCTGCCTACACTCTCGTACTTGCTAAACTTTGATCAACTTCGCGAGTAGTATAGTAGCCGCTTAAGGGGGGCATGAAATTTATATCTAAATCTGAATAATCTGAATCTTCATCAAAACTGTCGGAATCACGTGAGTCAGACATAGTTTGTGCCAGTTCTACTAATTTTCTCTCAGGAGACATTCTATAATTCGCAAAAGCTTTTACTGCAATTGTTGTCAGAACTAAACTACATTAATACTTAATACAAATAATTTCAAAACGTGCGAATTCTTGTCGGATTTTTTTTTCAGTGCGACATGAGTCACTGGTGGAGTCATGTTTCCGGACCTCATATCGCATTACAAAGATAATTAATTACTAGTGAGGTACGAGCTCTATATAGCTCGTATGATATTGAAGCCGTAATAAAACCTTCTTATTCTTTTTATATAGACATGACTCTGTCTGTTTTTTAATGTGCCTCCAGTATGGTGTCGTTCCATGGATTTCGTGGTCTTTACTACTCTATTTGTTGTCATTTAGCTTATATGATCGTTCCATTCTACTCTTCTATTTCTTACCCAGTTCTTGATGTTCTCCACCTTGCATTTATGTTGTATATCTGTACTTCTAGCTCTGTCCCATAGAGTCTTACCATCAATTTTTCTAGGTGTTTTCATCTTTGCTGTTTCTAACATTCTTTTTGCGCTCTGTATCAGGTCTTGTTTCTGCCGCGTATGTCATTATTGGTTTGATAACTGTTTTGTAAATTTTGCCTTTCATTTCTTTCCCGATATTTTTATTTCTCCATATTGTTACATTTAGGTAGCCTGTGGCTCTGTTTGCTCTATTCACTTGATCTTCCACTTCGATTTCGAGCTTTCCGTAGCTAGATAATGTGTGCCTAGATATTTAAAAGCCATCACTTGTTCTATAATCTTCCAGCTCCAATTACATCTTAGCAAATTTGCTGTTGTAACCAAGCATTTCGTCTTTTTGGGGGAAATTTCCATGTTATTTTTTCTGGCGGTTATATTAAATTGGTTCAGTATACAAAGCACGTGGTGTTCGTGTGTATTAAGGTATAAAAACGCTTATTAAAAGCTTAAAATTTTTTATTATAAAGAACCCCCAGGTTCAGTATACGTTGTAAATCATCTTCACTTTGAGAGAGTAGTATTGCGTCGTCTGCATAGCATATTATTTAAGTTGTTTTTCTCCTATTTAGTATCATTTTTTAGTTCTTACTTTTTTTATTATTTCGTCCATAATCAGGTTGATCAGTAAGACTCAATGAAGCTCCTTGTCTTACCCCATTGCCAGCTTCAATCGGGTCGGTTAGTTCTTCTTCTACTTTTACTTTTATTGTGTTGTTTTGGTAGATATTTTCGATCGTTTTGATTATTCCTAGAGGTATCTCTCTTACATACAGAAGTGGATAACGTCTTTTAATTTGACCCGGTCAAATGCCTTTGTAAGGTCCACGAAATATAGATATGCCGGTTTGTTGTATTCTAATGATTTCTCTTGCACTTGTCTCATTTTTATAGCGTCGGTGCATGATCTTCCCAAACTAAAACCTTGTTGTTCTTCTGCTAGTATTATAATTTTGTTCAATTTATTTGTTACCACTCTGGTTGTTAATTTTAGTGTTGTGTTTAATACATTAATACTTATGTAATTTTCCGAGTACGATTTCTCTTCCTTTTTGAAGAGAGGTATTAGGATTCTTGGTATGCATTCTTGAGGAATTTTGTTTTCTTCTATTATTTTTTGGATTAGTTTTAATAATTGTTTGGTTACATCTGGTCCTCCGTATATTAAGAGTTCGCGTAATAAAATCGTATGTTATAACTAAACATATCCCTCTAAGAATTAATAAATTACCCTGAAAAATGAAAAAAAAATACACATTTCGCAAGATGAATTTTCTGGTGGAATTGCACATTCCACGAGAGTGTGAATTTGGGGTAAATTAAACAAGCGCTTTAACTAGAATAGATATGAAATGAATACGCCAACAACATGCTGGTACATATATAGTTAAAAATGTTTTTTTTAACTTTTTTATTTGTTTCAGTTGATTTACTAGCAACAACGGGAGATTTAACGCTATCATGGACTTCTCCGATATATCCAAAATTATACTCCAACAGTACCACTATAAACCCATTGAGTAGGAAGATAACAAGAAACGAAGATGCCTGGTTGGGATCTCTTCTAAATTTTGGAGCGATTATTGGTCCGTTACCGTTTGGCTATATTTCTCAATGTTTTGGGAGAAAAATCGGACTGCTAGCTATAGCTGTGCCCCATATTATGTCATTTTTTATATTTGCATTTGCCGAAAATATACAGCTGTTCTACGTGGCAAGATTTATAGGAGGTGTAGCACTTGGAGGAGGTTATTGTTTATATGTTATATACATAGCCGAGATAGCAAGAGATTCGAATAGAGGCAAAATGTCTTTAACTATAAGTATTTTTTGTGCTATAGGAAATTTTCTTCCTTTTGTAATAGGCCCGTTTACGTCAATATTTGTATTTAATGTTATTTTAGCTTTTATACCGATCACTTTTCTAATTTTATTTTCACTTGTTGCTCCTGAGAGTCCGTATTATCTCGTCGGAGTGAAAAAAGACAAGGAGGCAGAAAAGGCACTAATGTACTTAAGATCAACTGATCGAAATGGTGTTGCCGAAGAACTAAATTACATAAAATCTTTTATTAGAATGGACGACGAAGGTCGCTTATCCGATATATTTAAAAACAAAATTTTGAGAAAGTCATTTCTTATATGTTTGATTCTAATAGCCTCTCAGGATTTATCAGGATTTTGTGCTATTACCTATCATTTACAAACCATTTTCGAGGCAACTGGAACAAGACTGCAGCCTGAATTGTCTGCTATAATTGTAGGGGTAGCGATGTTGATATCGAGTTTTATAGCTCCTTGTGTGGTAGATAAAGTAGGTAGAAAACCACTCATTTTAATATCTTGTATTGGTATGTTCATCGCATTAAATTTACTAGCAGCATTCTTTTACCTGCATGACAGACATATCAGTACTAAATCCATATACTGGCTACCTATTCTAAGTCTGATGTTGTACATAGTATTCTTTAATGTTGGTATTTGTACAGTACCGTGGGTTGTGATGTCCGAACTTTTCCCCAACAACATGAAACAAATGACTACGGCAGTTGCTTCTTGTTTTGGTTGGATATCATCTTTTATAGTAACCAAAAGTTTTCATGATATGAATAGTACTATAGGAAGATGTGGCACCTTTTGGTTTTTCTCTTCTATGTGTTTAATGTGTGCCCTTGTTAGTGCCTTATATTTACCTGAGACAAAAGGCAAAAGTTTTAGTCAAATACAGAAAATGCTTTCGGCGTCAACGGAAATTAGTTAGGAACAAAACTGTTTTTATGTTTTTATATAAGTACCGGCGATATACTAAATGTAACGTGTAAGAACACGTAGGAATTCAGGTCCAATATAAGAGATGTTTTATACAGAAATGAGTATCTGCAACTTTGAAGTATCTGTAAATTTGTTGATACGAAATATGTACTTGTGATTGGAGAAACTTATTGTTTGTATATATCTAATATATCTAAGTATTAAACTGAAACTAAAACACAAAACTTATGATAAGAACATCCCTATTAATTTGTGCACTATATTCTAAAATATTTGTTTTGAAATTCCGTTTTGAACAAGGACAGCTTATGCATCTACATACACAAAAAGTTTCATATACAAGTCTCGATAAAGATTACTTTTTCCTAAAACCAAAGAGCGTTACAGTCTTCTTCAATGGCTGGTTCTTGAATCTATCTATTAAACTCATATTGCTTATTAATTGATATTTACAACTGTAACAGACTATTAGCCTATGAGACATTTTTAAGGGGTCATTTGACCCAGCATGAATCACATATAAATCAATACTATAATATGTAATAACAACTTTAGAAACTATGCCGTCAATTTTTATCGGTGCAGGTGACTACATAGGTAAGGTAAACTTACCACTCAAGGGAGAGGGCATTTGATCCAATATATTTGTACGACATTTATAACTTAGGTAGGTAATACAAAAATAATGACCTGCGATCTAATGTCGTATAAAAATGTTGGTACCAATAGCAGGAAAAATCTTTGATTTTCGGAAAATTTGGCCTCCATTTGATTGTTATTTAGATTATTTTTTGCAGTGTCGTACATGTCGGCTGGTACAGGGGTGAGAAATCCATGGCCCACTCCTCTATTTTTATGTAGTATAAATGAAGTGACCTGAGCCAATATGAAACTCACTGATTTAAATTTAGTTGCATAAAATAATAACATTTTTTGGCATGCAGTAAATTTTTCACGGTACGTGTATTTATGACAGCAAAATTAAGTTCCCTCTGTTAAGTGGGATATTACGATTGGAAATTTCTGTACGGCATTGGTATATTTTGTTAATATTGACATCAATTATCAACAAAAACAAAATGCCGTACAAAAAATGGTTCGAAATGGCTTGAATGGTAGTAAAAATGTTTCTGACTCGGTTTCTTTACGTAAAATGTGCCCTTTAAACAAATTCGAAGGGTACGTGGCAAAAGTTTTGAGCAGAAATTATTTAAACAATTTTTTAAGTAAATTCCAAAAATAACCGGTTTTTTCTTTCACCGAGAATCATGTTTTTAGGTTTCTTGAAGTCATTTTAAACAAAAAAAGTAACTTATTATTTTTTTCTAAAGTTAGTAGTTTTCAAGTTATAAGCAATTTAAAATCACAAAGAATACAAAAATTTGCAATTTCGAGGTTGGAAAACGCATGAAATTTATTATTTTTCATGTTTCAACAATTCTATTCCCAAATCCAAATATAGATAACTTTATAAACATTTGCACAAACCATTTCTCACCTCTGTACTAATCGATATGTACGGCACTGCAAAAAAGTAATCTAAGTAACTGAAATTATGTGTACGAATGCTGTACTGTATCAAATTGCCAAAAATGGCGTCAAAATTTTCCGAAAATCTAAGATTATCCTGCTACTGGTACCAATATTTTTGTACGACATTAGGTTGCAGGTCAATATTTTTTTATTACCTATTAATGCCATACATATTAAGCTTACCTGCTGTACCGATAAAAATTGACGACAAGTTGTTATTACATATTGTATCTATTGTATTATAGTATTAATTTATATGTGATTCGTGCTGGATCAAATGGCCCCTTAAAAATGTCCCATGGGGTTGTAGTCTATAAATATAGCATTATAAAAATATCGACAGTATTATTGTCCAAATTATAGCGTAAAGACTGAGACTAGAACAATTTCCTTTAAAAGACCCGTTGTAATGTTTCTTAATCACGATCTCTTTGTGACTATTGGTTTGTTCCAGAATGATATCCCCTTTTTATCTGTGATTCAATTTGTTTTACCAGTTGGTAATTTTTAAGGTTTGCAAATTTTTTTCCACTTCATGAATGTTAGGGGCTAGGGCCTTATACTTACAATCAGCGTTAAGTTGTTCTTCTTTTTCTTTTTATGTATACATGGCTCTGTCTGTTTTTCAATATGCCTCCAGTAAGTTGTCGTTCCATTGTTTTCGTGGTCGTTCTACTAATCGTCTTTCTATTGGGGAACCGTCTCTTGCCGTCTTTACTACTCTATTTCTTGTCACTTGGCATATATGATAATTCCATTCTACTCTTCTATTTCATACTCAGTTCTTGGTGTTCTCCATCTTGCATCTACGTCATATATCTGTACTTCTAGCTCTGTCCCATAGTGTCTTACCATCAATTTTTCTAAGTGTCTTCATCTTTGCTGTTTCTAACATCCTTTTTGTCTTCTGTATCAGGTCTTGTTTCTGCTGCGTATGTCATTATTGGTCTGATGACTGTTTTGTAAATCCTGTCTTTCATTTCTTTCCCGATATTTTTATTTCTCCATATTGTTACATTTAGGCAGCCTGTGGCTCTGTTTGCTCTATTCACTTGATCTTCCACTTTGATTTCGAGCTTTTCGTAGCTAGATAATGTGTACCTAGATATTTAAACGCCATCACTTGTTCTATTATCTGACCTTCCAGCTTCAATTTACATCTTAGTAAATTTGCCGTTGTAACCATGCATTTTATCTTTTTTGGGGAAATCAACATGTTAAATTTTCTACCGGTTATATTAAATTGGTCTAGCATACGTTGTAAATCGTCTTTATTTTGAGAGAGTAGTATTGCGTCTTCTGCATAGCAGTTTATTTTAAGTTGTTTTTCTCCCATTTGGAATTCTTTTTTAGTTCTTACTTTTTTTGTGTTAAGGTATTTATTAAAAGAAAGAAAACAAGAATCAAGAAAATAAAGGATATTAGTACAAGAAATTATGATGATACTGATTACTGATATCTTTTAGTTTCTTGGGGGCCTGATGATGCTGTATAACTTGTAAACAGCGAAACCGGTCGTCCAATCTTTCTCTTAATAAATATCTACAAATTAAAACGGATTGTGAGTTTAAAAGTCCCTAATATTCATATCTACCTTTACCCAATATAACATTTTCATCGTTTTTCCACTTGTTCCATATATCTCAGTTTGGGTGCCCTCTTTGAACTTTTCTCAACTGATGTCTGTCTTATTATTTTCTTTGGTATATTATATTTCTTAGCGCTTTCTAAACGCTAAACTTTCAATCTTTTTAAATGTTATGATGTTAGTTTCTTTATATGTTATGTATATTTCGAATTTATACCGTCTATGCTATTTTTTTTACTGCTCTTTAAATATACTTATGGATATTACGTTCAAAGGTAGCTAGTAGTTTCTCGTCAAATTTTCCCAGTATCCATATATTTGATCCATACACAAGGACATTAAGGGTTTGTACATGTGGTGTTTGGTTTTTCTGGAAATATTATCATCAATAATATCATCAAGATAAATATCATCTGAAATAGTAAGTTATATGCTTTGTTCACATTCTGTTTTTGTCTTTAACTGCTGCGCTGGCATTGTTGCCTGTTGTGAATGGTGAACCTTAGTAGGTGAAATGTATTCGATATTTTAATCTCATATGGTTATGTTATGTCTTTTTCTGATGATGCCTATCTGTTTCAAACGTTGGCTATTAACATGGTTATCCTAACTTTGCTGGCAGCTTTGTGGAATAGTACAATTGTAGATGTATTTAAACCATTTTCTTAAAATTTAGAGTCAAGATATTCTTCTTCTGCCTGGTCCTCATTTTCCAAACACCTTGCCCTGAAAAATGAGTTGTAGCAAGCCATATATCTGTTTATTTCTCATAATATGGCCCAGATATCCCAATTATTTTCTTTGGTAACCTTAAAAACTCAAAATTAGTCACACGATCCACAAACGAAATTCTTAAGATGCGTCCGTAATACCACATCTTAAATGCATCGAATTTTTCCAAAGAACTTTAAGAATGTGTTAAAGCCTCTACTCCGTAAATAACGTAGAAAATACATAACATCTGACAATCGAGATTTTCTAGGTTTTCAATGACTGGAAAGCACCTAAGGCGACCTAAGCAATATTAAGATACATTTTTGCGTAGGCGTCGACTGTACATGGTCTTGTCAGGTGATATATTTAAGCAGTAAGAATTAAATTGTTTTTCAAAAGCTCTACAAAATAAAATTTATTTTAATATGTGCAAGAAAATGATTCTTTTTTTTCAAATTTCACTTTTGAACTTTTCAAAAGAAATAATTTTATTGTGATAGAAATATTTATTGTTGAGGTTGTTTAATAAAATATTTTAAATTTTGGCTTGATTTTTATTTGTTAAAACTTATTAAACTGTTTTTTCGGGCTGTTAGGCCGTTGTCTTTTGAGATTAGTTCTTGACGTTTCGCCAACACTACGGGTTGGCATCTTCTGCAGATGTTAATGCTTAGCTTGTTGATTTTTATTGTTTTTGAAAGATTTGTTAATAGATAGATAGATAGATAGACCAAAGGGTATTGTGACCATTAAGCATTATATAAAGTATTCTGGTATATTTTATTTCAAAATAAAGGATTAAATGAAAGAGGGCATTTTATACTTTTATCTTTGTGTGAAAATAAGGAAAAAAATATTCTCCAGGTTTTACAACTAAAAAGAAAATACCAAGTTGCAGTGGCGGCCAGTCAGGGTCGACAGGGTTGGTAGTGCAGACCCACACATTTATAGATATAGATTTTTTTAATATTTAATTTGATCACAGGACACATGAACAGTAGAGTGGGGAAAAACAGAAAAATGGAACAATGTCATAGGACCTTACGGGGAGGAAAAAATAAACAAAAATGGAAAATTACTACTCGAGTTCTGTCTAGACAATAACCTGGTGATTATGAACACACACTTCCAACATAAAAGGATTCACAAGATCACAGTAGAAGTCAAATCAAGAGACGAACAATCAATTATAGACTATACTATAGTGCAAAAAACGGAGAAGAACTGCCTAAGAGACGTAAGGGTGTAAAAGAGTTATGAAATTGGTAGTGACCACTATCTACTAGAAACCACATTCAAAAGTAAAAGAAGAGAAATAAAACGAAATAAGAACATAAACAGAAAACAGAAAGAAATAATAAAAAATTATAAACTAAGGGAAGAAACAACGAAAATAAGATACTCAGAAGGGCTGGAGAAAGAGATGGACAATGAACATAAAGTAACAGAAACAATAGAAGAAGAATGGGGAAAATTTAAAAATACGAAGATAAAAACAGCTAAATTAATATCTGAAACTACAAGAAATAACAACAGAGGGAAACGAACATTTGTTGGAACGATGAAGTGAAAAGAGAAATAAAAAAAAAGAAGAAATTATAGAAAGAACACATACAAGACAAAACACAACAAAAATATGAAAATTATAAGAAACAAAGAACAAAAGTTAAAGAGATAGTTAAGAAAGAGAAAAAGAAAAGTTGGGAAAAATTCAGAG